TCATGTGCCAACAATACCCCACTGCTATATATACTAACGTAATATATGCCATCATGTGCCAACAATGCCCCACTGCTATATACATCGGCCAAACTGGACAGTCCCTACGTAAAAGAATCAATGGACACAAATCTGATATTAGGAATGGCAACATATAAAAACCTGTAGGGGAACACTTCAATCTCCCTGGCACACAATTGCAGATCTAAAGGGAGCCATCCTGCAGCAAAAAAACTTCAGGATCAGACTTCAAAGAGAAACTGCTGAGCTACAGTTCATCTGCAAGTTTGACACAATCAACTCAGGATTAAACAAAGACTGTGAATGGCTTGCTAACTACAAAAGCAGCTTCTCCTCTCTTAGTATTCACACCTCCAGATCAGCTGCTAGTGGGCCTCATCCTCCCTGACTGGATCCACCTGGTCATCTCCAGCCTGATCCTGGCCTGCATATTTATACCTGCCTCTGGAAATTTCCACTACATGCGTCTGACGAAGTGGGTCTTTGCCCATGAAAGCTTATGCTCCTACACTTCGGTTAGTCTATGGTGCCACAGGACTCCTCGCCGCTTTTGCAGATTCAGACTAACACGCCTACCCCTCTGATACTCTCCCTGGGAAAACAAGAAGCCCGTCGCCCCAACACCTGGCTGAGAGGAACGGGGAGGGTTAAACGCTGTAAATGCTGCAAAGGGCCTGCAAAGCCCACACAGTAGGAGGGAGTTTTGGTCAGTGAGCACCACACGCCTCCCCCAAGCGCTCTTCTACCCACTGAAGGGGAATGGCCAGAGGGAGCGAGGGAAAGAAGCAAGTCAGAACCGGTCAAGAGTTGGGTCGTCCACACCTGGGGAGGAGGCAGGCGTCGGGGTCTGGTTTGGGAGGAGGAGAACTTGACTTAAGTTCTGTGCTGAACCTGCAGAACCCTTCCATGAGCTTCAACAAGGACAAGTGCAGAGTCCTGCACCTGGGACAGAAGAATCCCAAGCATAGTTACAAGCTGGGGACCAACCAGCTAAGTAGTAGTTCTGCAGAAAAGGACCTGGGGGTTACAGTGGATGAGAAGCTGGAGATGAGTCAACAGTGTGCCCTTGTAGCCAAGAAGGCTAATGGCATATTAGGTTGCATTAAGAGGAGCATTGCCAGCAGATCCAGAGATGTCATTATTCCCCTTTATTCAGCTCTGGTGAGGCCACTTCTGGAGTATTGTGTCCAGTTCTGGGCCCCCCACTACAAAAAGGATGTGGATGCATTGGAGAGGGTCCAGCGGAGGACAACCAAAATGATGAGGGGGCTGAAGCACATGACCTACGAGGAGAGGCTGAGGGAGTTGGGTCTATTTATTCTGCAGAAGAATGAGGGGGGATATGATAACAGCCTTCAACTTCCTGAAGGGAGGGTCCAAAGAGGCTGGAGAGAGGCTGCTCTCAGTAGTGACAGATGCAGAACAAGCAGCAATGGGCTCAAGTTGTGGTGGGAGAGGTCCAGGTTGGATATTAGGAAAAACAATTTCCCTAGGAGGGTGGTGAAGCACTGGGATGGGTTCCCTAGGGAAGTAGTGGAGTCTCTATCCTTAGAGGTGTTTAAGTCTCGGCTTGACAAAGCCCTGGCCGGGTTGATTTAGCTGGGATTGGTCCTGCCTAGAGCAAGGGGCTGGACTTGATGACCTTCTGAGGTCTCTTCCAGCTCTATGGTTCTATGATTCCACCCAGAAGCTCCGTTGTTCCAGATGCCCGGGCAAAAGTTGCATTTCCCCAATGAGAGGTGAGGAAAGCGAGAGATGGGGGCCAGGGGAATGAAAACCTCCAGCTAACCTTCCCACCCCAGGAGCGAGGAACTCCCGTCCGGTCAGCGTGAGCAGCAATCAGCGTAGGGTGGTCCAAAGGGAAAGGTCTAGGCAGGAGCAGTGGTGAAGACCAGAGGACTCAGCTGACTCTCCGACCTCAGTACAGCCCATCAGTCTGACTATTCCCTCAGCTCTTCTGCAGCCATCGTAGGACAAGGCCTCCCTTGGCCATGGACAGAAGCCTGGGCCACGTTAGGCGCGGGGCGAGTGGCAGTACAAAGAGGGCCCACCGCAGAGCCCGGCCAATCCGCGTTCAAAGCAGCGGCGGGCAGCCTGCGGTCCATCGGGGTTCTACACGCGGCCCATGCGCAGGGTTGCCAGATTCCATCGGTTTCCAGCCGTGTTGTTTTCTCCTATGGGTGCTACTGCAAAGGGAGGTGCCTGCGGATTGCACATAGCAGTGGCTGAGGCCGGCGGCCCCGCTGCAGTCAACCCCAGCACTGCTACGGGGCAATCGGCCCCCGCACGTTCTAGGGAGGCGGGTGCAGTGAGCAAAGCGACCCTGTCCCGGGAGACTGGCTTGGTTACAATCCACTTGCAGCCCATGGAGACGAAGGAGCCCGGTCATGTGGCCCCCTCGCTAGCCAGGCCGCCCGGCCCCGCTGGCTGAAAGACAGACCATG